GTGGCCTGGCCTGTGGAGTGACCACCAGAGCAGATGGAGGGGGTAGGCCTGCCAGGCCAGGAGAGAGGTGGTGGGGACCAAGGTGCTGCGCCCGCTTACAAGAGTAATAGCCCACGTCAGCGTTGACTGTCAGGCGGGCGATGTCAAAAGTCTCGATGACATTGCTGTCCCACTTCTTGCGGTACTCAATGTCGTGTAAAACGTCGTAGAGTGTCTCGGCGGGCACATCTCGGCACTCCATCCGGCACTGCAGACAGACACGGGGGTTGCCAGCGTCACACAGGGCTCAGACACAAGGGCTCTAGGGGTGTCCAGAGCCTTGGCCAGGGGACCAGAGGGCAGAGAGAGGAGGAAGAGGAGGAGGAGAGGACAAGAGAGAGACACAAGGACTCACTTCTTTCCACAAGTCCTGTCCAGCCTCTACCAGAAGCCACCCATGCCAGGAGACAGGCCTTGTGTCCAGGGAGCATCTCCCAGACCTCAGTCCCCACCAACCACCCTCCCCTCCTCCCCAGTATCCTCCTCCCGGAAACCGTCCTGAATGCCCAGCCAGACTCCGGGCTCCCACACTGAGCCTCTCTGTGCCTCCCTCCCCAACCTGAGCTCCCCATGGGCAGAAGTGGCTTCCAGCTGGTCAGCATGGACCCTGGCATAGGCAGGAAAGAGGGGCAATGAAAACATTCGTGAACAAAGAAGCGAACCCACAAATGCCTACATGGGTTACTTCTATCCTCCCATGGCGCTTATTATCTGGCTTCACTGCTTCATCTAGGTTTGTTTCCACTCAACACATATCTTAGGATGTTTACTACTTTTACCTTTGCTCTCATTGAGCTTTCCATCTGGGGGGAAAACCACCACACGTACCTTGTTTAATCTGACCCTCACAACAACCCTGCCCGACAAGAAAGCCAAGCAAGACGTGGAGGCTCTGAGGGTTAAGTGACTGCCCCAGGTTGCCCAACTGGGAAGTAGCAGAGCTGGGATTTTACCCAGATCACATGTCTGGAAAGCACACGGAAACAGGCCTTGTTTCCCCTGGATTTGCACCCAACAAGAAAAAGCACAGTCACTGTCCTTGTATTGAGATTTTTTTTTCACCCGGGAGCCCAACCCCTCTGCAGCTGGACCAGGGTTTTGGTTTAAAAAGGTCTCCCAGAACAGGGCATATGACTTCCTGCCTAGTTATGGGGAGATGCATACGATGCCCTAGGGTAGGTCTTGGAACCACGAGTGGGTCCATGATTGCATAAGGGCACACCATCAACTGTTAGTTGTTCTAGGCACCGATGAATTCATCATGCCTTATATGTAACTTCCGTTTACAGATAATTATAGAGGACAGAAGGCCAAGCTAAGTGACACAAGATGGCCACCAGATAGAGCAGATGGTGAGACATTCTGCAGGCCTACTGGCTCTGGTTCTTCTCTGAGCCAAAGTCATGCTGGCCGGATGGAAGGGCTTGCAGAGGACAGCAACCAGACCAAAGCAGGACCGGAAATACACACAACAGCTATTAGGAGCATCTCGGGGCCCTCCAGGAAAATATGAATATGGTCTGGAAGCATACTGAAGTAAAATGGTGGCAGGGAAAGAGCAGGTTAAAAATGTAATGCACAAATGATGAGGGCAACAAATGTACAAATGTGCCTGACACAATGGATGGATGGATGGATTGTGATAAGAGTTGTATGAGCCCTCA